ATTCACTGAGAACCACACAAAAACAGACCTAGAGAAATGAGATCCCTAGGGTCTATATCTGAAGCAGACCACACATTTTTTTTATAACAGAGTAGAGCAGTAGGCAGTTCTCTGGTTCTACAAGTTAGGATTTGAACTGGTAGGCAATGGAGCCTTCTTACCAGAATGTGGAATAGGTCCAAGATCACTCCATTCTCCTCACTGTAAGGTCTCTTTGAGGTTGTTCTTCATATACAGTGTCCAGCTACAGCATCTGTAAATTAGCATTTTTTATATTAGACATATTTAATTTTTTTTCAAAAGTTTGGTCTTGTTAAATTATCCCTTCTTTTGTTCTTGAGCATCTTTCTTTCCTTAATAGTTTTGGTTCCCCTGTCCCACCATACTAATAATAGTAGTTTTCTCAGTTGCTGCAGATTGGCAAGCTTTTCCACATCAGGCAAGACAAAACTCTACAAAATCATTCTTTTTCATAGATTTGAATCAACTAAAAATTGCCAATCAGTGACTTGTTTCAGTAAAATTAATCAGAGCAAAAGTAAATTTTATTTTATAAGGTAATCTGATGTTAAATATTTGTGGTCTAAAATGCTCTATTTGCAGCGCTCTGCTTTCAACCTTTAACAGTATTTCTTAGTTCCAGAGCCAAATTATCTTGTGTTCAGTGTTTGTCTAACACAATAGTGACACCCACTGGCTTATTGGATACTTTTCCTTTTCATGGTTGCACAGGGTTAAAACACAAAGCACACTGTGAAAAATGTTTCCAGCACTTCACTGTGATTGCTTCACTGTGAGCACTACAGTCAAGTATCACTGTGAATACCAAGCTGCATCACTGAAAAATACAATAAAAGAGCACAGAATTTTCCAGTAGTTTACAGCATGATCCAGATGCTGAGAAGTGAAGCACTAAGAATTACTATTGCATTTAATTGTCTCAAAATCTGACTGTAAAAAGAAGGTATCTAATAGTGAAAAGTTGTTATGCTATCTACTGTTCCTGAACAAACTGAGAATAAAGTACATGCCATATACTAGTCTGACCCTCACCCACTCTCACAGAAAAATTTGGTCTATTAAGGACAAGAGAGTGGATTTTTTAACGCCAAGTTGTGTGCTTTCTCAGATTTATCTCATCTTGATAAAGTTAATATTTAGAAGGTTTATTTTGAAGCCTTGACTTACAGTGAAAATGGTTTTGGTCCTAGTCCTACACAGTTACAGTGGAGGAGTGGGAACTTCCCAGAACAGACACCCATACAAGCTCTGGAAGCCATGGCTTTGCTGTGTGATAGACCGGCTCTTCCAAAAAAGGAGAGGACATGGGTGGAGCTTAAAGTAGCAGCAGATGCTCCCACCTCACTAAGCAAATTACAAAAGAAAACATCTGTCTGCAAATGCTTTTGTGTGCACTCCTCTCTTGCCCCTAAACTGCTCTACTTTCCTCCCTTTCTCTGTCCTGCTGCTGATAAAATGAGAGACTGGTTACAACCCAGAGTCTAGTGCAGAATGAAAAAGGGCACTATTTTATTTGCCTAGAATCTGATTCTGTGGAGTTGTTGGGCATTTTTGTTTACGTGAACAGAAGGTAAATGCACTTCACATATCACCGGTACATCCACATAGCCTGTAACATAGGGTACTGTCCTAATTGAAGGCAAGTACTGGACTTATTTTTACTTTATTGATAATGAGAATCAAGACAGAATTCACTCTAATAGCATAAGCCAGTTTTTTTTTTTTTCATTTCCTATTAAGACTCCTCTAAAACATTGTGTTTTCAGACAATTAAGTGCTCAGAGCATTCTAAAAATCAGGTGCTCTTTGGTGTCAGCAATCAAAAAAAGTAATTCCAAATAACCTTGGCCATTGCCTTTTCCAAACAGTATTAAATGCTTTGCTGCATAATTCTGAAGTATTTGCAGTCTTAGTCTTAGGAAGCATACTTAATTAAAAAAAATATAGTCTTGTTTTGTCAAAAGTCAGTTTCTTACTGCAGGTCAAACCCAGGATATGCTAAAATAACAGACCATAGTCTTGGCATGGGTAGTTCCTGACCTAGACAATTAACAAGGCATTGAAATCCTAACGGAATTTATTGGCATCAGATGGCAGAGCAGGCATAATATTCTGTTCATTTTAACTGAGCTAATTTGTCATTTCCACATGAGCATGACTACCTTCATCCTCTTTATTTGTACAGCTGTCCTGAGACTGTAATGCTGTGGTAGTCACATTGGATGGGCACAAATAATAGATGTGATAATAGATGTTATGACATGGTATCAGTTTGGTCTTAACAAAGCTCCCAGTCATTATCAGTCTTTGAGCTGAAAGAAAGAGAGACAATCCACCAGCTTCACATGGCATGCTAAAGTTGTATCAGCTGTCAAACCCATTGTGAATTCTGGATTCAATGACTCTGTTTTATGACTTCACTGCCTCCTACTGAAGACATAAACTGTAGAGTCAATTAAATTCACAGGGTAGCAACGAACGAAGACATTTTATCAGCCTACAGGACTACATCTCCTGGAACTGTTTATTGGTTAATTATGATGGATAATTACCATAGAATTCATACAGTGTCTCAGCTTTTTTCTGAGTACTATCAAAATCATGTTTCTTCAACTGTCCAGACAAGACAACATGTTTTGAAAATTTTCAACTCTTTAATGCAGAGCATATACACCATGAATTAAAAATATTAAAGTTACTGTAGAAACTTGTCAACAAAATGCATTGTTAAGACAAAGGCATTAGAGCATTAGTGAGACATATCTTATGCCTTTTTTCCTGCTGAATAATGTTTCATTTTGCATGGTAACAGCTAGTTCAGCGTACTAAAAAAACGTACTGCTTTCAGTAGAGTGAATGGTTCAAACAGTTGTACTTTACTGTATTATTAGTCTCATTTAACTTTTCTTAGACTCAGAACTATGCTTTAATTAAAATAGTTGTCCAGTCTTTTTTGTCAAGTGTTTAAAGGGTGTAATAGCTGCTTTAAGAGTACTTCAATTAATAAATTCAGTTTTACAACAGAGGATGTGCAAGGCACTGCCAATAGACAGCCTGCAATTGTTCTTGCCAGCAAATACTCAAACACCGAGAATCCTGACTGTCCATTCATTCTTAACAAGGATACAGAATCAGCAGATTTTAATACTAGTAGCCCTTAATTTGCATAATATTTTTGCACTGCTCAAATTATGGTATCAAGAAAACTGTAACTGTTGCTGAAGACAATGTGCTGATTCTGCCCTGGAATTTTTGCCAGTGACTTCACTGGAAGCAGGATCAAGGTTTAAGTGAGAGGAGCCAGTAAAGACAAATGGAACATGAGTTGTATGAGGATACTTTTTTATGTAGTCCTTATATGTAAGTGTAGGACTTATTTTCCTAGCCTCTGGACTAAATTCCTCTTCATAGCTTCAGGGCCAGTGGTTATCCAGTCCTGCTTCCAGTACAGCATAAGCCTATAGTATGTTCCTGTTCCAGGCATGTAGTAAGTTACCTTCTCGTTACTCTGTTTCTTTGCTGATTTGATTGGATGATGCATACCACACATTTCTTCACTTCATGTCCAACTGTCAAATCACACTGATTTTACTGACATATTTTAAAACAGACAAATAGAGAATAAATAGAAAAAGAGGTTTAGGTCCCTGCTTGCAATTCACAAGATAAGATTTTGTTCAGACAGATTCAGTCTGTTGAAATGTTTACACTGAGAAAGCAAGCAATTCAGTTCTGTTGCTTCAGCATAATTTGAAGGTAACACATCTGCTTACAATCACCTTCGACTTCTGTCTTTTTGTTTTCCTTCAATCCATTCATAGAAACAAACGTATGATCTGTCATTTCTGTGAATGGAGGTTGTACTGAAATATCCTTTACTGCCCTCAAGTGGTCTTAGAGCCATATGCTTTTCTCGGGATTGCATGGGGCTCCATTTTGCTCTCATTTTTAATAATGTGGTATCATTGATTGATGAATTCTGATAAGAAAACAAAACGCTCCTCAGTTGGGAAACAAAACAAGTTATAGCTAAACAAAGATAATGATACAGAGTGAAAAAGATGAGTAGGAGAAAGACCTGTAAATAGGGTGAAAGTGTAGACAGCTCACATGTGAAGTCTGATTAGAAAGCTTGCTTTATTGAGGACTTTTAATCTATGATTTAACAGTTGTTTAGCAGCACAGAGCAAAACCTGCAACAAATCCAAAACAACTCCACATTAATCCTATAGATTGAAAAATCCAGTTGGCACGGCAAGTATTTTCACTTCAGGAGAATATATATTACCTTGGAAAAGTTAGTAGAAATACATGGAGATGGTCTGTGTGGTACTGTAGGTACAGATACCCAATTTAGATGATAACTGATACTGTGCAACCTCCCAAACCTTTTCAACACAATCTATTAAAATTGATACTTTCTGTAAATATGTTGGCTAATAACTATCATTTTTTTCTGTAGGAAACTTCACAACTTTTAAATAAGGCATTAAGGTCTGAGAGTGATGATGGAAAATATGTGAGCTAGAAAAACTTAAGATAATTAACATACAGTGTGACTTCAAAGAAACAGGGAACTCTCTCAATTTATTCTACTTGTCTATAAAGTCCCATAGTCTAAAATGAGCCATCACTTCTCTGGTGCCAAAAATACAATGCTCAGTGGAGTCTTATGCTTGCAAAAGGCAATACTTACATTGGTAGAGCCAGAAAGACTTGCAATTTATTCCAGGCATCTCAGAGAGGTGGTGGTGGAGACCTAATGAAGATGAAAAGAAATTATCACCTTGAGCAAGTAGTTAAATTCGAAGGTCACGTTCCTATAACATCTAATGCATGGAACAGATTGGCAGGCTGTACAACAAGCTGGTTTGAGTCATGAGCGTGTATACAGCCTTGTTTTATCCATACAGTCATCTCTGAAATGCTGCCTGCTCCAAGGTTTACCGCAGTAGTCATTCACTTTGGATTCTTTTCAGGGTCAGCCTGGTGAGCTCGGACCTCAAGGTCCAATTGGGTCCTTGGGATCTACAGGACCAGCTGGTCTGCCAGGGGAAAAAGGACGGAGAGGTGAGAATGGGCAGCCTGGGCCAGCTGGAGAAAAAGGTGATAAGGTAAGAAACACCATAGACAGCTCTCTTAGGTGTACACAGTATGTAATATTAAATATTGGCAAGTGAAGCAGAACCTGAATGATCATAAAGCATTTGCCACTCTCGCTCACACAAAATTCTCATTGAAATTAATTACAGCTTTCTTTGAAAAAAATGTTTCAGGGGATTTTTGCTGTGGATTGCAAAATCAGAATTGTCAGAAGACATAAAATAAAATGACACAGACCCAGTCTCCAATTGTTATATGCCATGACATTCTCCTTAACCTCAAAAGGACTGTGGGAGGAATGTGGAGCTGGAGGCAGGAGTACAGTGCTTTTAAAAGTGCTGTAATTTTTAAGTGCTGCTGTAAGTGCTAAACAGAATTTTATTACCGCTTATGGAGTATAAATTGCAGTTCAGGCCCATATCTTTCATAGCTGTACAGTCCCTCTGCTTAGCTCTTGGTACTTCATATTAGTTTGAATGGTCTAATTCCACTGATCTCAGTGGATGATTGAAATCACTAATGTCAGTATCTAACACACCTGAATTGTAAGCCCTGCAAATAGAAATCATGCTGCTGGTATTATCAAAACAGGGGCAGGGTTGTGAAATTACATATAGAATTATTCTATATGTTATAGGCAACTTCCCCTTTTCTATCATTTTATAATCTTTGGAGAATGAATATGAGAGCTAGAGGTTTGTCCTGTACTGTGCCATCTGTTACATGGGTAACTATTGGCGCTAGTCTCCTGCTAAGCCCATACAACTTTTTTCAGATACTTATTCCTGACAATTAGGGCTTTTGATTCACATTTCAAACAAGACTGAAACAAGATTTGTGTCTCGCTATATAGTATCATACATTCTTGTTTTTCATTCTTTTTAAGAGTTAATGACCTCAGCAACTTTGTTTTTTCTTGTCACCTGTTTTTAGGGCCCAACTGGAGTCCCAGGATTTCCAGGTTTAGATGGTGTTCCTGTACGTATTGAATGAATATTGCTTTATAAAAATTACAATTTCTATGAAGTCACAGCAAGTCCTTTAATAGAATAATACACTCAATAAATTGTTTGGCTTTATACCTATTGATGTTATGTCGCCTATAGAATTACATGTATTGCACAAATGCAAAATAACCAGGTTAACTTCAACTGTGTTTACTGTTGATACAAAGTCCAAAGTCCCAATGAAGTACATAATTTTCATGCAGGAGTGGGGCAGTGAAGGTAGAAACTAGCCCACGTCCATGCAGCATGTGTCAGTGCTAAGATTAAAACCAATGAGTTTATTTTCCTCAGGCTCTATAGCTGCCCCTAGTCTGCTTACTGCATTCTTAACATCTCTAAAAGTATCTCAAATGATGTACTGTTTTCTGTTCAAACGTTCTGATTTTTGCTTGTAGTCCTTTTGCAGGAAAAAAAGGCAACCACTGAGTCAAGTATTTTTAAGCTGAATAGGGACTGAAGAAGGAAAGTGGGTCCTAAATATATCTTTATAAGGATGTGATTATATATTTTTCTGAATGTCTTCTTCAGTGTGGAAATGAGTGTAGTAAAAGAAAGATAATGTCTTTTAGATACAGTATCTGAAAAATGCTGTTTATTAGAACTGAATTCCTGTGCTGTTATTAGATACATATGAATCAAAGAAAGTTAAAATGTTGAATTTTGAAGTGAAAACAGAACCAGAAACTGAGTGGGTGTCTTAGCATCTGCTTGTCAGCTGTCCACACTTGACAATGGGACTGTTGCCAGAATGACTGTATAATATAGAGGTCACAAGGCCAAAATTAAGCACAAAAAAGAAGTGCTCCCAAGAAATATATATTCTTCTTGGAAAAATGTTAATTAAAAACAATGTCCACAAACTGGGATAAAGAACCTTAAAAATAGGGAGAAGGTAAAATTGACAAAAACATTTCAGGCAAATGGCCAGGATACTTTCCTGATGATTTTTCAGACACTCCTCGAGGGGAAAAAAAAAAAAAAAAAAAAAAAAGATTTAGTCAAAATTACTGTTTGTTCCTTACAAAAATGTTTAATTCTGTGAAAATAATTTTTCCTCCAATAGAAAGATCATTCCAAGGGAAATCTGACTGTTTCTATTGTCTAATGTCTAATTTGCAGTAGAACTAACCCCTTTCTGGACATTGGTTAGTTCTTGCTAGGTTAGAAAATCATTTCCTCTATTCTTGAATGTATGGTCATAATCTCTGCGATTACTGTATGCTTGCATCAAGCTGTGTCCTGTTTTTCCTTTTTTTTATCCTCAGTTAAACAATGTGAGGCTGCTTGAGATGACTTTTGTGTATTTCTTCAGCTTTCCTTTACAGCCAGAAGAAAGATTATAGTTAGAGGGCTAGCGCTTTCTCTGAGAAGATAGCACATTACTTTTTGACTCAAGTGAGAGCTCAGTTTGGCCCTCTGAACCAGTGCTGTCCCTGTTATATATGCTATGCATCAAGGAACAAGATATAAAATACTTATATCATTTGTTATATGTGAAAGTTTTATTGATCACAATAGAAAACATTTCTAATACAGAGTATGAAGCTGGAACCACTGTGAGTGTCCTCTGTTTCAGATCTGAGATACTTGTTTCTTAACTGTTCTGTTAATGTAAAAAGTAATTCCTTATTTATCATAGTGTGTCTCTAATAACTGTCTTTCAGGGTTTACCAGGAAGTGAAGGACCCAGGGGCAAGCGTGGTTTAGACGGCTGCAATGGCTCAAGAGGAGATCCAGGATTTCCAGGAGAAAATGGTTATATTGGACCAAGAGGTCCTTACGTATGTGAAAAGCATTCCTACTGTCTATGAATACTGGATATGTACATTTCCCCTCCAAGCTAACAGCTTTTAAAATGAAAGGAGTTTCAGACTATGGCACTAGCGTTACACTGCACAATGAATTTCGAGGCATTCTTACTAAGGTTAATAGGAGCGAAGGACATTTGGTGCCTTAACAGATTAAGTTTAAGCTTGCATGTGAAATAAGTTCCTGTATCCTTAAAGTATATATGTTTACCTTGAGGGTTAAATTCTGCTTTGTTTCCCCAGCACGTAACCAAACCAAAGCTAATACCGTTTCACGGAAGTAGAGGAGTAGTAGCTTGAAAGTAAACCATCATACCATTTATCAATACTTGAAATTTCTTAAAAGCCTTACTAGTCGGGACATACCTGTGATGAATTAGCAATAAATGGAAGCTTCAACAAATCCAAGTCCTGTAACACTTGAAGGTTTTCAGTGGTTGATCACACAAGTGTATTAGTAGATCTCTTCCAAAGTCATGCTCCTACAGTTTCATGTGTCACTTTTTACACATACCTATTCATGACTGCTCTGTGCACACCTAATCTTGCCTGGGTCTTTATCTGTATATGTAGAGATCATTTCAGTTAAAATGTTTAAAATTAGCACTTTAATTTTGTTTACTTTTGCTGTTAAAATGGAAAGCATTTTAAAATTGTTTAAACAGTTTTGTTAGCAGTGCTCTTCTAATGAAGATAAAACACAGATTCATGTCAGTAAGGGATATAAATTACTGTAGCTCCAAAGAAATTTTGCTGAACAAATCTAGACCCCAGTCTTTGACTTTTCATGGAAACAAGTTTTAGTTCTGAATGATTAATAGCTGATTAGTTGGTCTAAGAGCTTCCCTGAAATTTTCTAAACAAAACAATAAAGACAACTGCAATTTACATGACAAGTCAAACGTGTTTAGTAGGAGCTAAATAAGATGCTGATTCAGCCATAGGGAATCAAAAAATGTGCAGTGAGTGCCAGAGTGAAAAGATGTTATCAAAAATATAGCAATTAGAAAAACTGTGCAATTTCAGCCTTGGACCTGTAATAAATGCTATGAAATACACAACCTGATAAAAAACTTGATAATAACCTCATTTGTTATACTTCTTAAGGTAATCCATTAACCCTCCAAATGGTAAAATGACTACTGCTCAAACTCTAGTCTTACCTGTATTTTCTTACTTAGGGCTTTCAAAATAGAGTTTTGCCTTTTATAATTAGCCAAATGGCATAAAGGAAAAATGAGACATGGGATAAATTACAGCATAAATCCTCCCAATTCCAGGAGTATGCTCTTTGGCAGGCCTAGAAAAGTATTTGCAACCTACAAAGCATGGGAGACACAACAGGCGTGTAGCCTTGGATATGCACACTGAAATTCCAGTGCAAATGAATTTAGCTACCCAGAAAAACAAGACATAGTAACCATATTTGCTTGTGTACAAGAATGCTATTCCAGCCTCTCCATGCAGATTGCCTATTTTTAAATCTATTTGTTGCACCAAGTACCAACTATATATTACAGCTAACATTTTTCTGTTATTCTTATTTATAATGTTGTCCCACATGATTTCATTTAACACTATGTACATATTCATCAGCTTTACTTCTGTTATCGTGTAGAGTCTATACATTTATCTCACCATTGAATTAGAAAAGAAAGTAGTTTCTATTTATAAGCCCTTGCCTAAGTCACGTAGAAAGTAACAAACTGAATTTAATAAAGATGTTTTATTACACAAGAGATCACATGTAAAATAATTAAAGACAAATATAACTCTTGATGTGTTTAATGTGTTCCTTAGCAGCTGTTGTTTGACCTGTAATCTGCATCCAGTCTACTGTAGCTATATCCAGCTGCAGACAGCTGTAACTCTTTATTGTACCATTCCAGGGATAAGTACTTTCCCTGATTCGTTCTGAGTTCAGGATTTGAGCAGCCAATGTATATCAGGAAACCAGTACAGTTTTAAAATGGCTAAATTCTATGAAAACCCATATCCCATTGTATTGAAATCAATAAAGTGGTTAACTTAGTTAAATTGTATCCAGTACACATGGATTTCAAATGAGAACATTTCAGAAATAATGTCTTAATAGATCTGTCTTCAGATATGTACATATCATGCTCTTAATGGTCAATTGAGCATTACAATTAAATTTTGTTCCTGCTAAGTCAGATTGAGGTTTTGAGGGTGCTAAGATTGGTAAAGTTTTATAAAAGACTCCACAGCAAGTACCATGGGAACTTAGTTTTTTTAAAAAACAGGGCCTTTAGGCATCAGATTTTTTTAATAGACTGTGAAACATATTTCCTAGTAGATGGAAGTGTTGAAGATTATGATGTAACAGTCCATGCTTTCAGCTTTTTACCTGTATGCAGAATCACACTAGATTCTTCTAAATCACAGCATGAACTTTGGGAGAAAGCAGAGTGCTAATACTTAAAGCCACTGACTCACAGAAAGAAGAGTTAAGCATATTGATACACTTGATACTAAAGGTAAGATTTGTGAAGAGTGTAGAATATTGAAGTACCCCAGAGCTAAGGAACATCTAAGAGAGCAGGAGTCCAGAAGCTGCAAGGAGCTGTTATGCTAAACTGTACAGAAGACAATTTTGCTTTTAAGGGTCTTGTTGGATAAAAGAACTGCAAAATGTTCATGCAGTGATGGTGGTGCTACTGGATTACCTAGTGATATATAGGCACCAGAAAAGCTCAGCCTGAGAAATTGTCATTTAATCTTTGTAAAAATGTAGGATATCAGTAAGTGGATCATGTTTTAAAAGATTTTTTTTTTTTTTTTTTTTTTCTGTAAAGGGAAATCCAGGGCAAAAAGGAGAAAAAGGAAATTCAGTGTATGTTTCACAGTTTGGAAAAGGACCTCCAGTAAGTATCTTACTGTGAAAAAATACCATGTCTTATAGGAAAATATGTAGGGCAAATGTAATTGTTCTCATAACTCCTCACTCTTTAATAAAGCTTGGTGCAAAATGATTAAAAGCAAGTATACAACTGGAACAGATAGCTTGTGATCTTAATAGCTATAAAGTTAGAAAATACCCACAACAAAGCTTGTAATAATTCATTTGCTAAATGATTGTCCTTACAGGGAGACAGAGGTGATCCTGGACCCCCTGGCATGCCTGTAAGTACAGTCAGTAGGTTCTATACATGCTTTTATGTCTTGAAGATCTTTCAAATTTTCCTTCTTAGTACAGTAAAGAAATACTGGGGTTTCTCCCTGCCTGCCTTAAATAGCAAAATTCCAGGATAAAGTCTAGCAAACTTCAAATCCCTATAGTCTGCCCCCATGACCAGTTCATGCTGGCTGAAAAGGAGCAGAAATAGACCATACTCATCTGCATTGGCTGTGCATTGAGGAGTTGTCGCCCTGGTACCCACAGTTTGCAGAATATTTTCTCCGTGAAATTCAAGATGCATAGAGATGTGACACCTCCTTCAACAGTAGCTGGCGGATCTCCCAAGAACATGTAGCAGACTACCATATTTTGGCCGTAAAAACATGTGAGAAGAAGAAAGAGTTTAATTTTGTTGCTGACTCACACTCTTAATGCCTTTGGGTTCCTCTTCTTAAGCTCGTCATAAAAGTATTCCCTGATGAACTATATCAAGTCCCCACACTGTAGCACAATTACTGACAAAGTATTCTTTCAATCCATTAATAACATACAAGTGTTCATTGTCCAGTGTCTGTACAGTATTATCCAGAAACTGGTACTGAGCCCCTCTAGTGACACAGTGAGGTTTCAGGCATGGTATAAGCTTCAGGCCATGGGTGGAATGCAGTAACCAGTAGACTGAGTCCAAGTGATGTAAGCATTTTTGAGGAGAAAAAGGTAAGCTCTTGGTATTTTCACAAACAGACCTTTTGTCATCTTTTCCAGGGACCTAGAGGGTCAAGAGGTACCACAGGCCCATCTGGATACCCAGGCCAACCAGGCTTGCCTGTAAGATCACCACACTTAAATAGCCTTGCGTTTTCAGGATATGCAGAAATTTTGGTCTACCAGTTTTTGAACTTGCCTTAATTTTTACCTTACCTTATGAGTTTGGAAGTTCAGGAAGTGGAGCATATGTTGTTCCTTCCCATGTCTGTGTGAACAGCTTTCATCCTGGCAGTCTGTGGTCATGGAGGAATGCTGCTAGTACTCTCTCCTTATTCCCTTTCCCCAAGGCCACCTTGTGGGAGATAGGAAAGTGGGAAGCCAGAGTTCAGCCCTCCTGAAAGCAGTCACCAGGTGAAGGAAATTGCACTTTGGGATAGGTGCATCCCGAGAGGAAATTCTGCCTCTAGGTGCTACTGGCAAGAGGAGGTAATTTTCAAAGCAAAGCTGTCTCTAAGTCAGACATATTAACTTGTCTTCATTCTCTTTTAAAGGGTATTCCAGGTTACCCTGGTTTGCCAGGTGAACAGGTAGGCAATGACTTTTCCTGAAGTTGTTAGTGAAATAATAGGTTAATTTATACAAATATTTGAAATGTCTCTTAGGGTTATTTGTTACCAAGTTTTTTAAAGGAGTTACTTGGTTAAATTCTGATGTCAACATTTTTGGATTATTTTCAAACTGTGTACGTTTTTTGTCAATTAGGGAAATCCAGGTATTGGAGTGGATGGACAAAAGGGGGAACCGGTAAGAAAACAAATATTATTAAAGAAATCAAATATTATTAAATATATTTTTTTCTGTAGATTTAGAAGTATAATAGAGTCTTGTTGGGTTCCCTGGAACCTGTTCATTTGTGGCTGTGTGCTCCCACTAATCATGTCAGAATAGAAGGAGAAGTAATATAAGCTATTGAATCAATTAATTCTGTGCAGAAGTGATTACTTCAGTGAGCTGCATACAGGAGTCAAGTGTATTCTGGAGGTTCTGAAAAGCAACAATCAATATGTTAGTTAGCATTTACATAGCAATTACCTTCTGTACAGATGCTGCCTAAATAATCATAACAGTACCCTCCAGTAAAAGTGGCTCTACAACCAGTCACTGAATCTCATCTCATGCTATGTCCAGCAACAGATGCCAAGGAAAGGGTGTAATAAAAGGACAAGCATGTAATAGTAATTCCTCTCCCAGTCTCCACCTGTTAGCATACTCAGGACTTACAGAAACAATGTGGAATATTTGATTTTTCTTCTATGAGTTTATCCAGTCACTTCTTAGAATTCATGCACGTTTCTAGCATGCACAACTTTCCATATCAAATGAATAATTTCATCTTTGCATTCACAAAGCCTTGTGCTGAAAGGCTTTGGTCTGGAACACAAGAGGCTGTGTGTACACACAAGAGATTTGACAATCCTGTAGCTATCTCCACAGCAGACTCAGAACAGGAGGCATGAGTACAGGGTTCTCATCTCAGCCATAACACTATTTTTAATGACTTAGAATAGGAGGGGATTAAGATCATCAACCTTGCTCATCTGGGAAGATGGTAGAGAGGTTCACAGATCTCAGTACAAGCCTTTATTTATCTACAGGTATTAGTATGTGTTCAATGAGTACAGAAATACGTATTGCTGTAATACAACAGAAAAACATGCTGTGTCTCACTGAAACGCTGCATGGAACAGAATGTGACTCTGCTGTTCCTTTGGCTTCCACAGGGCGACATTGGACTTCCCGGGCCACCTGGGTCACCACTGCTAGTTGGACCTCCTGGAGCTCAGCTGTTCAAAGGAGAAAAGGTGTTAATTTGTGTTTGTATTTAACTGTGCTCAACTTGGCAAGGACAATCCTGTGATGTAATTTTTGCTAGGCTGGCAAGGACAAATCTGTCTTTCTGCAATAAACCATCATCTTCAGCAGAAATCCTGTTGTTCAGCACCCTTCCTACAGGCTTTCAGGAGAGGACAGCCTATGTGTACTTTAGCTCACATCCTTGAGGGAAGACTGTCTTGATGCAGAAAGGAGAATACTGCTCTTGCTTTGGTTTTCTTCACTTTTTGTCATTAGCAAAACATATTTGAGGCATCTCAGGTAAAGATGGTTACTCTGGTATTGAATCTCTTTTGTGGCTCTTCACTAACACTTTTATTTTTCACATCTTTGGCAATTACTCTCTTTGAGATTTCTCCGATGTAATGTTTTGAACTATCAACCCTAACCCTTCTAGGGTGCCCTTTTGATAGGAAAATTAAATGTTATTTTGTTCTCTGTTTTTAATGCAAGTTCCTGTTATTTCCTGTACTTCTTCAATATCACACCTACTGTAGCCACAGTTGCGTAGCTTAAAACACTAGAATGTTTGTTTAAAAAAACAGGAGTTACAAAAATTGCATTATGGAGCCCTCTGAGTCTCTTATGTCCTCAAGTTTGATTTGCTTGAATACACAAACAAAAAGGTGAATTTGGCATTGCCAGCCCCTGCAGCCTCAACTCAGGGAACTGACAGATTTCACATACTGCATCTTAGACTTTGATTATGCAAACAGTGACTATGTGCAGGTGTATGAGGAAGAGGGAGAGGACCAAAATAACTCCCCATGTTACTGCGAAGTGTGACACACGCTGCTGTGCAACACATGGCATGATCATGATGGTGTAGCCAGCCCTGCACCCCATTCAGATTGAGGCTATGCACAAAAGTGTAGATTTATGCATGTGAATACTTGCATCAAACTAAATAGAGAAGCAAACAAAAAAGAATTATTGTCATGCATGCTCGCAGGAGCAAAGACCCACTTAGCAGGTCCCTACAAGTGAAAAGACATATCTGTCTCACTCCACAGTCATTATGCTGGTTTCACAGTGTTAACAGAGATGAAAATCAGTACATGTTTCTCTTGTTTTCTTCTGTCTAGTACACCTAGAGGAACAGGCCTGGTGCTTAAGAAAATACTATTTAACAGTTGTAATTCAGAACAGTACTTTAAAAAAGTTAAACAGCACATAGGTACGTCCTGCATATTAATATACACAAAAACTTTCATTGTATATGTAGGGCCAAAAAGGACTACCTGGGGTAACAGGATACAGAGGGCCACGTGGACCCAAAGTAAGTAACGTGGTGATTTATTTTTTTCCCTTGGTTCTGGCAAAGTCTTTCTATGGTTATTAAATTAATCCTTTAAAGCACAAGGTGATGGAAGAAATAACAGCATTTGTGCTGTGAAATTTAATCACCACCTAAATCAATGTGAAAGCAAAAATATTTCAAAAACCTTTCTGAGTCTGTTTTATACACACCTGTTGAATGTTGCCCGGTAGCGAAAGGTCAGTGTTGTTTCCAGTTGGGCAATTGATGCATGATGGACTGGGACTGTGAAGAAAATAGAAGCACAGATTATTTTTTTCTCAAGAAGAGAAATGGAGAAGATCTGTATGTGTTCTTAATGGGGCATGATGGATGTTTCCATAAGTATGTCAGGGAAAGACTTTAACTTCACATTATGGGTATCTTCAAGAGTAGAGAAGGCAGAGCCACCTGTTTGGAGAATGAGTTGCTGTTTACTCTCTATTCTAGTTTTGCTTTTCTTTCTGTCAGCATAATTAATTTAAACATTGGTGTGCCAGTAAGGAGTTCCTGGATGCTGAGCAGAAGCAGTCACAAAAAAATATCTGGAGTCTTCGTTGCTGATGGATTTGGAGGAGGAAAATCCAGAGGCAGGGAACTACCAGATCTCAGAAAAACAGAAGATACTTGAGGACAAAAGAATGAGTCTAGTTTATGTTAAAAACTTGCTTAGCTTTGTAGGCAGAAAAGAAGAAATGAGAAGCCTGAACATCACATTTCTACGTCTAGCACTTTTTCAGAAATTAATTTTTCATCAGAAAAGGACCACTGTTACTTAGCACTGGAAAAGGAGACAAACCTGACCTTTTTATATCAGATTTACTTTGAAAAAGATTGGCTTTATATGCTTGCTTCAGTACTAGCTGTCCATGTAGGTAATAGTACACTTGTTAGTTATAAACAGGAACTCAGAAATTGACTGATGCAGCCCAAAAGATGCCCAGAGCTTTAAAAAATAAATAAATAAAAAATTAAACTGCTGAAAGTACATTAAGTTTGGCGAAAAGACCATAGCAGGTTCCTTGAATAACGGAAGGTACGTAGGCACTGCTAGTAGTACTGTATGAAGTAAGCCCCAGTGACTGAGTCTAGCAAATGAAACTAGAACCATTAACCTAATATATACATAACTTAATAAACATGCATAAAAAATTAAATTTATGGTAAACTTCACTGAGCATCTTGTTTAAACAAACTGTTTTGAATGCTCCAGGGTATACTTGGGAGAGGAGAAAAGGGTGAAAA